TGGCATGTGGTGCTGGGGGATTGAACCGCGGTCCCTGATGCTTTTGCTAAGCTTGTTCTAAGTAGGTGCTTTAGACCACTGAGCCATCTCTCCAGCCCTAGAAATCAGATTTAGAACTGTTGGGTAGAAGCCATTTCAGGTGGTGAGAAGATTCGTGATCTCTAACAAGAAGCTGTGGAACATAGAAGGGAATGGAGTATAGGGTAAAGTAAGGAAACAGAGGCCAGGTCCAGATGGGGAAGCTGTGAAGGTGACTGAGGTTGCAAGTAACTTGAGCATGCGAAGAGCAGTATGACTGTGCACCTGCTTGGCCTGCTCAGTACACTGACACTTGCTAGCATCACCTTTCAAATATGACAGTGAAACCTTGGGACTTGTTCTCGCCACAAGAAAACTAATGTTAGTGATCCTCTTAAACTCAAATCTAATGAGAATTCCATTGACTATGGGTCTTCGGGGCCGGGGAGATGGCTCAGTGGAATAAGCCCTTCCCTGGCAAGCGCAAGGGCCTAAGTTCATTTCCCCATTCCGAAAAAAAAAAAAAAAAGTCTTGCCTTAACTAGTTGGTTCTGATTGCTGCAGAGAACAGATGACTAAAGCTCATCTGTTAACACCATGGCTCGGATGGTGGGTGGGCAGCCACTAGAGGCAGCACTTGGGCTTCTTTGGGGCCTATTCTTAGAGGAAGAAGTAAACCGGTGATGGCCTCCAGTCTGCCTGGTGCCTGCCTTCACTAAAAATGTGAGACACCCTTTCATGCTTTCTGTTACAGAAAGCATTTCAACACAAGCTGATTCTACCGAGGCCTAAAAAGAGATCCCTCCCAAAACTGACAGGATCATGTTATTTCTGTTATATGGCATGAACTGTGTTATAAATTATCTCTGTCTGAAAGTCCCAGCAAACATTGGCATTGTAATTCACTGTAAATTGGAGACATGCCTTCATTTGGACAGAGAGTTACATTACACATAGTGCAAACACTGCTCACAAAAAGAATTTTAGGGTGTGAGTAGCGAAGAAGCCAGACATACTTGCACTAGTGATGTATGTTTGCTTTTTGTCATCCACACAATCTTTTGCATGACTGACTACCAAAATTGGTGCATTTTTTGCAGGTGACCAAAGTTATTTCACACAGTGACTTGTGAGAAAATTGAGATGCAACCAGATTTAGGTGATACTAAACATATTTTGTTCCTGTTAACTAGAAAAATGTCACAATAATAACCATGAAGTGTTTTAACTACCACCTTGAATGAAATACTTCTTTTCAAGTATCTATGTTGGCTCTTTCGGACTCCTAGAATTCCGCTGCTGAAATGTAGACTGCTTTCCATATTTAGGCATAGCTCTCTGGTGTTTTGCTTTTATAGGCAAAGGCTTACATTCATCTCAGGAATTACGTGAACATTGTCTTCTCCTTTCCTTTTCCCAGCCCCACTTGGTCAGTATCTCCAGGTCCCACACCAAGAGCTGCGTTGGTGAGTGAGCCAGGCCTCCTTTTGGGGGAGTTGGCTTGTGTTTATCACCGTGATGATTCGGCTAGGAAATGGAGAGATGCACACTCAGGTCTGAAGCGCTGTTTTGAGCTGATGTCCCGTAAATGCTGCTGAACTGCCGTTGGAGCAGGCTGGAGGCCTGCCACCTGAAGTTCTGCGCATGGCTCCCACCTTTCGCTATTCACTTGATCTCTACTGGTTTCTTCACCTGGAACATCAGTAATGTGGGCTTCTGTGCGATTAGGTAGTAACGATGTCCAATAATTTCACCTTTAGAATATACCTTTCAAAGTAAACAGTGGTAGTAACAGCAAAGCACCATGTGTCAGTCCTCTTGGCACTTCCTGAAGAGCTGCCTTTAAAGCTGAGTCTCACAGAAGATACTTTCCAATGGGACTCAGAACAGCCCTCTTAATATTCTATTCATTCTGCTGTTTTAGTTTATCAGTCTACTTTCTTAGCTCAACTGTGGACCGTTGGTCATAATCAGAGGTTCATTGTGCTTTAGATATTGATTACTTCCAACAGTCATCTCCGTTTCATTTGCTGGGATAGGGAAAAGCAGCCCTTGCACTTGGATTGGCCATCAGGAGTCAGAGGCAGTTCTCCATTTACTGAAAGAAAAAATACAATTAGCTGGGTGTCATTGGTCCTTGACAGCTCACAAGTGGCAGCTGGTCTCTGTTTATGACGCTTGTGGCCCCAGTGAGCTACAGAAGCCCCTATCTTCAGGGCAAGTCCTATTGTAGGATCTCTCGGCTTAGGCAAAAAAAAGTCTTTGGGCACCGGGTAGTTTTTTTTAACAAAACAAATTAGCTTTCTTGCTTAGTTTTTTAGAAAGCTTTTACTGACAACCATTTCAGTTTTTATAATCTCCATGTTCTTTTACCCCTTACAATATAGCTTCACATATTAAGTTATTGATGTCATCTTACTTTTTTTTTTTATAAAATCTAGAAGCATTTTTTAATTATTTGCTTCTGTAGCATTTGACACAGGCCCTTTCTCTGTTTATGCGCCACCTTTCCTTATGTACCATCTTTCTGTGAGCTCTTAAAGCCCCTGTAGCTTTGACTAGTATCTTGGGCAATAACCAAATTTTCCCTGAGATCTCTTACTATTATTATTATTTTTTATTTATTTATTTGGCGGATCCAGGAATTGAACTCAGGCCCTTGTGCTTGCCAGGCAAGCGCTGATTCTACTGAGCCATCTCCCCAACCCTTACCCTGAGATCATCTCAACACATGTCTTCAGGATGTGCCTGGTGACTGCCACCAAAGTACAGTTAACTGATCCTGCTTTTGCCTTTAAAATTTTTATTTTCAGAATTACAATTAGTCAAACCAAGACAGAGACCAGGATTTTCTAGTTTTAGGGGTGATGCAATAAAGATGTCGATAGAAAAAACATGAGGCCTGGGGAGATGGCTCAGTAGAATAAGCACTTCGAAGTGCGGAGTCCTGAGTTCAATCACTGGTACCACCAAAAAAAAAAAAAAAAAAATGTTCTCTTTAGGTCCCTTATGAAATGGATGCAGTTTATCCTTTGTCAATACTTTATATGCTATGCATCCCAAGAGCCGCATGCTCTCTTAGTGGCCTAGATTCTCCTGGCCTTCTGAAATACTTACATTCAAGAAGGTGGCATCTACACAGAGGACAGCCCTCAGCTACGTGGGCCTCAAGCTTTGCTAGCCCCTGCTTGTCCAGCACTTGTTGCATGCCGGGCACAGCATGGAGTCCTTTGCATACAGTCTCTCGTCTTTTTTTTTTTAACTGAAGAGTCCAATGTTCTTTTTTCCTTGTCTGATTCTTGCAGTGACGTTGTAAGCTACTCACAATTATATTTTCAATTTAAAGATGGGTAGCCTGAGACAGAGGGATCCCGGTGAAGCAATTTTCACAGGACCACAGAGACAGAGGGATCCAGGTGAAGCAATTTTCACAAGATCACAAAAACTAGTGAGTTCAGGGTTTGATCCCTGGCAGTCTGATTCAGAGTCACAGCTTGAGCACCAGGTTCCATAGCCTTTCCACGCAGCTTACTGCTGTTTCAAAGGTACTCCTTGAAATGGCCCATGGCTTAGACTGTAAAGTATGAGTGATTGCTTCCTTGTCATTCTAAGTTACCAACACTGGGTGTTGTGAACAAGGAACCAGCGTACAAATTGTACAGCTGAAAACAAGAGACTTGAATAAGACAAAGAACTATAAGGGCAGAGGGGAAAAAGAGAAAAAGAGGAAACTCATCCATCTACAATGAATCCCCGAGTAACTAAAGTCTTCATACTAGGAGAGAACAAGAAAAATAAAATAGCGTAGCCTCCTCTAAATGAGCTTGCAATCGGGCCAGTGCTTTATTTCAGTGCATCTGCTGAGGATTTGGTGCAGAGAGGTTAGACAAATAATGAAATGTGAGTTTGCTCTTGTGGGGAGATCTGTGAGAAGTGAGGTTTATTTTCCTCCACGGGCCTTGGGTGCAGAAATACTTCCCTGATGGGTAGGTCACTGTGCTAAGAACTACCCTTATTAATTAACTACTCCTCACATGAAAACTTCATAGGAGGGAGGAGTAAATTTCATGCCTTAAAATTTTTCCAGTTGGGTGGTTTTGTTTTATGATGATGATGATGATGATGATGATGATGATGATGATGATGATGATGTCTTTTTGAGGCAGAGTCTTGCTATGCAGTTCAGGCTGGCCCTAAACTCACTTTGTATCCCAGGCTGGCTTTAGACTCATAGTAATCCTGCTACCCAAGCTCCCCGAGTGCTCCAGGCTGGCCTTGAATTTGTAGCAGTCCTCTTGCCTCAGCCTCCTGAGTGCTGGGAGTATAGATGTATGCCACCATGCCTGGCTTCAATGACCTTATTTTAGATCTTACAAATTTTAAGACATTCAATAGATAGTAATTTTAAAAATACTAATATTGATAGTTCAGTTATTTTAGGGAATGATCTATTTTTTTCCATAATTTTATTGAAAAATAACAATGAGTTTCAAATCAAACTGGTAGGACAGTTTCAATAATTAACATATTGCATACTCTCTTCCTAGTGGTTATTTGCTGTACAAGATGCAGACTTGATATCCTATTTACAAACACTATTACAATGAGTCCCTCTATTCATTAGGAGAATGTAGCTATATATCTATCCTAACCATTTTGAATACACAGGTACAAAATGGACATTCATCTGTATCCCCTCTTTTGTTTAGTTCCGTCATTTGAATATTATAGGTGTGTTAACTCAGCAAAATATTCTAAAAGAGTCCAGTAATCCATAATAGTATTGGGCCTTCAGCTTGATTGGCAATGTCAGAAATTGTTGACCTGAGTCCCCTACAACTCAACATAACAGCATGGCTTTACTTCTTATACTTTGTTTTTATACTTTTCTGCTGGATGGTTAAGACCAAGATAAAGCAAGACCTGTGCAAAAGAGTTGCAGCTTTTGGGTCTGATAAGGTCAGTGAAATCCCCTCAGGATTTATCCTGAGATCCTGTACCTCAGATTGTAGAACCTTTGTCAGTGTTACCCTGTGGATGAGTCACGGCCATTGGTTGGCTAATGTGCTCTCTGTGAAAGCCTGAGAGAATGTTTTCTCTCCATGTGACTCTCCTTAGGCACACTCTACATCATCGATCACTTTCCTCTTTGGCCCCATAATCTACTTGGTATGATCTGTTATTTTTTATTTTTTATTTTATTTATTTATTTATTTATTTATTTATTTATTTTATGGTATTTGGGGGCTGGGTGGCATTAGAAGAATGTTAGAAATCTCAGGTCATGGGGGAGGGGGAGATACTGAAACTTCCCTAGAAGGTAATGCGTGGATGCTCATAGTTAGTGAAGGTTTTGGACCTTTAATATTTTAAGACTCATGCCTTCACCCTAAGAGCTACTTTTCAAGGTAGCTGACAGATTGGAGAGTGCAGGATGTTGGAGAATTCTCTTTCTTCTTTTGTGAGAAAATTGATGTTCTCTACCTACTAATTAAATTTACACACACCATTACCTCCTAAGGCTTGAAGACTCAGGATTAATGTTGAATGATTACAATACCCCCACATGCTTCTCATCACATCTTAGGATGGCTCTCTCGCCTGATGGTCCAGGATGCAAGCGAGCTGCTTTACTGGCTTAGCATGCAGGACTCTGGGGCTCTGTGAGACACCAGTTAATTTGTCAGTGTCCCTCTCTTTACAGGGACAAAGTAGGGGTGCTCACACTTGCCACAGCCCTGGCTGGAAGATAAATGACGTGACAGTTGCCCATCTGTTTACAGCTTTTAAGTGAGTGTTGTTCAATAGAGATACAGACTGGTGATATTTTAGTTTGGGATCACATTTTCACTGGCTGTCAAACTGCAGAGAGAATATTACTTCTTAGGAAAATGGAAACAGAACAGTCATTTTGAAACAAGCTTCTGATGAGAGCGCGAGTGCATTAAGTGACCAAGGCACCGATTTTTCTTATGCCACAATACACGGTGCGCGATCTCCTGGCTCCTCCTGTATCCCCTACCTCGTGTATACTAGAAGCTCAGCACACGTCAGTGAGGGCCAGCAAACGTGGGTGGAAATGGCCGAGAGGGCTCGGGGCTGCCCATCCTGCCTCCGCGAGAGGCTCAAAGTCAGAATGCCACCCGTCAGACATTCAGGAAAGAAAGAACAGGTTGTTCTTAAGGTTTTTTCCTAGATATTGACCGAGGCCGTGGTCAGAAACAGATTTGTAATATCTCTAACTTTTGATGATGCTTTTGTCAGAAGCCTTTTATGTTTTTTTTTTTTTTTTTTTTTTTTCTTTGTTCTTTTTCTTTAGTGTTGAGGATGAAACTCCGGTCTGTGCGCTTGCCAGGCAAGCATTCTACCACGAAGCCCCCTCTCCAAACCCTTTGGCGGCTTTCTAGAACTGAGATTGCTTTCTTTCAGTCCTGTAATAAAGTCTGTTTTGGTGTCTGGGACACACCTTGGTGTCTGGTAGAGCTAGGGTTCGGCTCGCTTTTAAGTTCGTGTTGAAGTTTAATCTCGACTGAGAGTAAGTGGGACCAGGTACGACCTGTAGGAGGCGGTCAGGTCATGGGAACTCTGCCTTCATGAACAGAGCAGTTTACAGGAGGGCCAGTCACCATAACCAGCTCCGCCCTGGCTCTCAGCAGGGCTTGCTGTGCCCTGGGACCCCGTGGCAAGTGCCCTCAGCAGGAAGACCCTCGCCCACCACCACGCCTGAACTCGGACCTCTCAACCTCCAGAACTGGAAGAAATTCATTTCACTTCTTTACAAATTACCAGGTCTATACTATTAAGTAATAGAAAAAATGGAATGGGCTTTGATGTTTCCGAGTCTTCCCCCTTCAACGACAGCGAGTAGAGGAGGCCAAGTGCTGGCACTCCAGCCAAGGGCCTCTCTAGTCCTAGCGTAATCTGCAGTGCTGGCCGGGCCACTTGCGGGAACGCCCAGGCCGTGCGTGGGCAGACAGAACCCACCGACCAGCCGAGTCCTGCTTCCCGGCCCTGTGGCGCGTGCGTCTGGAAGGTTTGCCGAGTGGGAAAGGCCGCCGAGCCCTTTCCCACCAGGCGGTGTGTCTCACTCACCTTCCAGCAGGCTGGCCCTGAAGCAGGCAATGAGGAGGAAGAGCAGCAGAGCCCCAGGCAGGAAGAGCCCGGCGAGCAGGAGCCCGCCGGGGAGCTCGCGCAGGAATGCGGACAGCACGGAGCCCACAGCCGACTGCATGGCGCTGGGGCCCGGGACGAGCGCTGGGCGCGAGCTGGGCTCCGCGTTGCCTCTCCTGGGGCTCTGGCCTGGGCTCAGCCCAGCTTCGGGGAGCTTGCGCGGACTTTGCTCTGTTTCAACAGCCGGGAGGATGCTGAGAACTGCTGGCAGGTTACTCTGTAACTGGGCCGCAAAGCGCAAACAAAGCAATTGAAGTCAGTCTCCCCAGTTCTTCTAGTGACCAGAGCTTAGCCGGCAGCGGTGGGGCGACCCCAGCGGCTGGGATTTCTGTGTTCAGTGTATGCAGAGCGTGAAGTACCTGACTTCAAGCAGCCTCCTTCCTAACTGGATTTCCTCCTGTACTCGCCCTCAGGAAGAATTTGTGCTATAGCTTCTATATTTCAGGGTCAAAAATTACCTACTAGTCATGCTAATGTAGTATGTCTGGAAACATAAAATTTTCTGTGTCCCTTCCTTGGTTCCATCCATCACTGGATAGGGCCAACGGGGTCCCCAGAGCGAGCACCGGGTGTCTGCAATGCGGCACACCCACGCACTGGGCAGCCGCAGGTCCCTGACCGGCATAGAGAAAGACTCCCCAGGGCTGCCAGTAAGAGGCGCACAGGGGTTTATTAGGCAGAATTTAAATGTGCACACTCAAATGGAGACCCGCAAAAGGACAAGGGGTGCCTGTGGCAGGAGTCAGGCGTATTTGAGAGGCTTTGGAGAATCTCTAAGATGGGTGAACCAAGAGTTATATTCCAGGCTCCTTTGGGTTTTGCCCATTTGGTGGCCTGTGTTAAAATGCAAGCCATTTACATGTGTCTGAAGCTGAGATCTGCTGTCATCTTAGCGGTGCACATTCTGAGAACGACAGCACAATACAGGTGGAAGGCCTAGGCCCTGGGCCTACTTTGAAGTGTTACTGTCCCTATGGGCCTTATGGACTTTTCCTGGCAAGTAAAAAAAAGCTTCAGTAACTTTTATGCCTTGAAGTGTAGTTTTTCTTTAAAAGCACAGTTTTAATATTACAAATTAATTTAATTTGTTGCCTTTTTTGTTTCCTACCCTCCCTTGCTACCAGTACCGAAGAGTACCGAAGAAGGAGATACCTCGCTCATGTAAGCAGCCCTGGGGGAGGGTCTTGACTTATTTATTTATCCAACAGAGCTTCCACAGCCACCTTGTTGCAGCCTGGATGCTGGGTGTGCACGCATGAAGTCACAGGCTCCGCCCGCCCCCTAGGAGTGGAGGCTGTCAAGGTTGCAGGGGCACAGTGGCAGTGCTGGAGTGGATGGATGGTGACTCGTTCCTTTTCCTCCCCCCTTTGCTGCTGCCTGAGTGTGCATGCTCAGCCCTGTGCTTTGCACACTTCCCTCAGTGACAGTCCTGTGGGTCATGTGCCAACTCCGGAGTTTTAGGGAGAGAAGTCTGCACGCTGCCATTGACTTGCTCTCTGTGTTGAGTAGCCCTTACATTTTTGGTGAAAAGTTTCCAGATGTCTGCGGGCATTTCATCCAAAGTGGTGGTGCAGAGCCAACTTTCAGCAGGAACCTGGTGGAAATGGGGCATTCAGAAGACAGTCAAGGGTGGATTGTGGAGCTGGGATCCACTGGTGTTCAGAGCTGGAGAGGGAGGGTCCATGAGGGAGGAGGGAGACGGGCTGCTGCCCAAAAGAATGCTCAGGACCAAGGCCTTACACTACCTGGAGGAATCATTTCACTGTTCAGGACCCATCTGGGAAATGTTGAGGGAGACTGGCAGCCACGAGCTGGCCTCATGTGTCCCCTCACCTGTCCCTGTCCCTGTTGCTCTTGGCAACTGGCTGGTGAGCAGCTGCCGGTGCCTCAGGTTCCTGGATTTCTCTGCATGGCCATGCAAGTCTTCATTCCAGCTGGAAAATCTGCACCATAATTCACAAATAGTAAAACTGGAAAGGTCTCTGGGATGCTGGTATTGCTGAGAGGACAGAATAAGCATCTCAGCTTTTGACAGAGTCTGTAGGACACCCATGATTAAGGCTATTTTTTTTTTTTACACGTTATCTGCTCCCTTTCCTACACCCCTGAAAGCCATAAGTAGGTATGCTGCTAAGATTCTTGCATGCCTGCCCTTGAGATGGCTCTCCTGTGCTCGTCAAGAGTCAACAAATCGCTAATTTGTAAAGTGTCAGTCTTCAGAGAACTTCCCTGAGCAGGTGACAGTACAGCGAGATGCCAGGCAGCCTATTTGTCAAGTTCTTTGTGCCCTTTTCATTCCATTCAGCAAGGCTTCCTCAAATGCCTAGACTAAGTTAAGCAAGGGGAAGAGACTGAAGCGTATAAATGACAATACTGCCAGCCCCCGGATCAACACACAAACAAAGTGCAAGAAGCACTGAAGAGAGACTGATTACTTCCAGACAGGGAATTGGGGGATTCATTACACAGCTGCCGAGCTAGGCTAGCTGAGACAGACCTCTGCCCACAACAGAAGGAAGGAGGCAGGCAGGGCTGCTGGAGGACAGGAAAGCACTGAGAATAGCCAGAAACTGGGGATTTGGACCAGAGAGCATCTGAAGAGCTGAAGCTGGGCAAAGAGGTGGCACCAAAGCTGATAGACTCTTGGATGCCCCGCTAATGTCTATGCTCTTTGGACCAGGGGGACTAGTCAAAGGCCTTTGGTCATGGAAGTGTGTGCTTTGGCATGGCATTGGAAACACTGGGGCAGCACTTTACAGAAGGAAGGAAGATCAAAGATGAACATTGACTTACTGAATAAAATGGAAGGGATCTGAGCAAGGAGATGACAGAGGGAAGGAGGTGAGGTGCAGCGAGGCCACAGAGGGAAAGAACAGCCCTTGAATAAATGGATGAAGGTAGATTTCACCAGTGATGAAGACAACCATCGAACACTACATGTCAGGTTCGATATAAATACTTACCATTTTCTTAAATCCCCACAGTGGTCTTGCAGAGCATAGACTTGTCCATTATACACATGAAGATGTGAGGCGCAGATAGGGTAAGTGCCTAGGATGATGCCTACCAGTGAAAATGCTGGGGTTTCTAAGCCATGGCTGCACCTTTCCTGGCATGGTGGACAGTGCTGCAGGGAGAGACAGGTGCGGCTGAGATCTGACCCCTGTGGGCTGCGTCTTAGGTGGGATAGCGAGGACTTCTGTAGGTGTTGCATCCAAAGCAGTGGTGCAGAGCCAGCTGTCAGCAGGAGCCTGGTGGAAATGGGGCGTTCAGAAGACAGTCAAGGGTGGATTGTAGAGCTGGGGTCCACTGGCATTGAGAACTGGAGAGGGAGGGTCCATGAGGGAGGAGGGAGACGGGCTGCTGCCCGGAAGAATGCTCTGACTTGAGACAGAATGAAGTGAGAGAAGGAAACCAGAAAAAGAAGCAGCTTTGAGGTTGGGAAAGGAACAGAAAGTCATGCGAGGCAAACAATGGCGAAGACTTTTCAAGAGGGAGAAGTATCATTTACTGGATTGCAGGTAATTTGGACAGACATTGAAAGATTCAAGAGAGCAGAATCTTGAGGTGGACTTAAATTTTTTTTAAGTAGCCATCTGGAAATAACTGACATATAGAGTACAGTTTTGTGCATTCAGAGAAACTTATGAAACGCACAGGACAATCACTACAATCAAGCAAGGGCACATCCACCAACCCCAGAGCTTCTCAGGCCCCCATTCTCTGTCCCACTTTCCAGCCCCAGGCAGCCACCACTGAATACATCCATCCTCTGTTACCCTGTGTGTATCAGTTTGCAATGCATTGGTTAGAATTTTTTATGCATGGACTTAAATAGCATCTCTTTTTTTGTCTAGCTTCTTTCATGCATAATTATTTAAAATTCATTCATGTTGCCTGTATCAGTAATTTATTGCCTTGCATTGCTGAATGCAGATCTATTTATGGACGATGCACTCATCTCTCTCCACTCATCTGGTGATGGTCATTTGGGTTCTTCCTCATTTAAGGCTGCTGCATATAAAGCTGTTATGAACATTTCCATTTTCTTTATATGGAAGTGAGCTTTGATTTCTCGTGGTGAGGACCTAGTAGACCAGCTGGATAATACAGAGGGTATATATTTACTTTTAAGAAATTGCCAGGCTATTTTCTTGAGTAATGATGTCCATTTATATTCTGACCAACAGTACATGAGATTCTGGTTCCTTCACATACTCGGCAATTCTTGGTACACTGAGTCTTTTCAACATTAGCCAGATAAAGCAACCATCTACAGCAATATCTCCTTTTGTTGTCCTCTGTCCTCCCTAGTATGGTCATGGGCCTGGCCTGGTTCTTTAGGATCCTGAGGTTGCAATAAAGAACTTAACCCATCCTTTTAAAATAAGATTGAGGGCTTGCTGACTTCTCATCATGGTAGAAGAGTTTTCAAGACAGGTCAGTAGAAGAGACACAGGAAGGTTCATTAAACAGAGATAGAGGACACACTCAAGTGCGAATGTTCAGAAGTGTGAGAACGACTTATGAGCTTGTAAGCACACATTTTGAAGGGTGGTCTCCAAGGCAGGTGATCTAGGGTTGTACTCTTGCTGTCTATCAGACAACTACAAGCCGTAAGGCTGAGATAATGTTGTTTGAAGCTGTGATGTGCTGTCCAATGCAACTGTTTTCTGGTCTGGAGGAAAGGACAATGTGTAGGTGTAACTTACAGGCTAAAAAGACCTTTAGGAATTTAACACCATTTTCTGTAAGCACAGGAGGAGGGAGGTCACAAGCTAGGGTGGCCTCTAGAAGCAGGAAAATAATCTTGTCTGGAAACTGCAGTTTTTCTTAGAAGTATAACTTTAAAATTCCTATTTCCTTGTTTACTTTTTTTTTTTTTTTGGTCGTAGTTTCTGTACTGGGATATTGAAACCAACACCTACTGTTTGCTGGGAAAGCTCTCTACTACTGAGCTATGTGACCAGACCCTGTTTATTATTATTTTGAGACAGGGGGTCACCAAATTGTCTAGGCTGGCCTTGAGCTTGAGATCATCCTGCTTCGGCCTGCCAAGTGACTGAGATTATAGGCATAAGCAACCATGCCTGGCTATTTTGCACATTTACTTTGTTTTATTTTGCACATTTTAAGAAAAAAATTGTTTTTTTTCTTATTAAATTATATACATGTGCCTTTTATGCTTAAGAAATCTTCACCCCATCCAAGCTTACAAAGAGCTATTCCTATATTTTCTTCTAGAAATTTTATGTTTTTAGGGTTATATTTAGGTCTATGATCTATGAGGTAACTTTTGTCTATAGTGAAAAGTATGAATTTGGATTCTTTCCTTCTTTGCGGATATATCTTGAATTGTTTTTATACTATTTGTTGCAAATATGGCCCTTGTTCCTGCCCTTGGTCAAAAATTAGAAGTCAGTTATGTGGGGCTCTATTTGTGAAGTTCCTTCTGCCCTGTGGGTCTATTTATCTTTGCACCTATCCCACCTGTCTTTAAAATAAGTGCTGAAGTCTGGTACTGCTGGTCCTCCAATCTTCTGTTTTATTTTTCAAAGCTATTTAAGTTGATAAGGTCACTGTCACTTACATATGAATTTTGAATTATTTTATCAATTTGTACAA